TGCTGACCCCAGCAGCCTTACCTTGGGTCTTGGGGCCCCTTGAGGCAGCGGTGGCACCAAACCAGTTGCTTGGATCCTGGCCTGTAGCAAGAGCATGACTCTGGCCAGCCAGGCTCCCTTTCTGGTAGTGCATGCTGCTGCATGTTCCTCATCACTTTTTTCAGTGGAATTTTTTTTTACACCAGGATCTCCAGTGAAAAAAAAATCCCCACCGTGCTGCAAATTAGTAATGTGGTAAACACTTGTATGTGTACCACGTGCCATTTGTGGTGCCTTAAACTGCCTTGAGGTGCTGCAAACCACACATGCACACTTGTTGGGACATGCCCAAATAGGACATCTTCCTTGACTCCAAAAGGTATGGAAATACAGATTTTCAAAAGCCCTCAGGAATCAGGAGATTTGGATCAAGTCTTAGAAAAAAATTTCAAAAGCATGTAGATGCTTCTCTCATTGATTTTCAAAGTTCAAAAATGTCATTAGGAATTCCTGTTGCTACTAAATGTTCTTACAAATGTCAAGGTCTCTGAGCCTTAATAGTAAGGAGGAAGTGGGATTTCTGAACACATAGCTCCTATCTCCTTTATATTTGGTAGCCATTAACCAAGAAGAATTACAATGCCAAATAGAAAAGACAGGAAGCTCATTTAAGCAAAAACACTTTACTTGCCCCACATAAAACATTCTTGACCATTTTATTCCAAGTTTAAAATTAGCTCATAAATTTGGCATCTATTAGCTTATCATGAATGAATGAAGCCGGATCTCTGAAGCCCCTTCTTATTGGTCTCATGTGAAACTTTGCAGTTTTTTACTGTTGAAAAGACCTCTCCCATATCATGTAAGTAATAGGAAAAGTTTCTGGATTTTTTTGAATGATGTAGTTTCTTCAAGGCATTTCCACACACCCCTCCCTCACCATGACAAATTATTATACTTGATGATCATGTCCTTAGATCAGAGAGAAAGACACAGACAGAAAAACAGACAGAAACTTGTATCAGAGCATGAGGAAGTAGAAATGGGACTCTCTTCTTGAGGCCAGATACAGTACAGTAAATCTTAATACATTTGTAGTACAGCCACTCTGTAGCTTCTTCTTTACCTATAAACATAATGATACATTCTCTGATGCTGTTGATAATGTAGCTTTCTCTTTAAGAAATTCATCAGAAAATAAAAGGTATAGATAGGGCCAATGAGCTGATGGTGATATGCAGCATGTTAGACATAGCCCTCTTGGTAACAGTAGTTAGTGAATTGCTTCCAAACCTATAACAGACTTTCAAAAAGGGTTTTATTCTGTTTTAAACGGAGCCAAGAACTAGATAAAGGCTTTAAATGTATGTAAATGTGTGAAGAATGTTTTCACAGTAGTAAGGTCATGCTTTATTTTGAATATAACAGTTTTCAAAGAAACTCAACACCAGCTAGAAAGTCATAGCATAGGCCTACTTATTAATCATGTAATGTGTCTTGTGACTTTTTACCCAATAATAATAAATATAATAGGAATACACATTCTATACTCTCACCTATTATTTATGGAAGGTAGAATGTACTTGCACATATACAAATTATGAATGCATAAAGTAGTTCAGGCAAAATAAGAAGCTGTCTAATTTTTACCCATCTCCAAAACTCTAATACCTCTGGAATACTTTTTTGTCTCAGCAGCTTTAAAAATTGTTACTCTCTCTCACACAAGACCCATTAAGAGGTGGCAGAGAAAGGTTTGTAGTGATTTCCCTTTGGTTGTGGCACAGGATAGGCCTCTGTAGAACCTAAGGACATATTGCTCAGTTCTCATAAAAATAGGAAGACGGACTTGGAATACTTTTGGGGTTTCTTCAGGGATACTACCTGTAGAGCACATTTTGCAAAATAAAGTGGGATAGTGCCAGAGCAGCACAAATTAAAGAAAAGAGGAGAAAAATCTGATAAGCATTGCTACCTGGTCAGCTAAATCGAGATAGACATTTCATTTAGCCATACCCTAACTGGTCTACAATTAGCATATCATTTGTACAGTAGTTTTAGTACATATTCATGATATAGGGAATGATTGTTAGATTTGCTGAAACAACTGGATGCATTTCAGTAAATTAATGAGGCCAGTTTTGGGTCACACAGAGAAGAATTACTTACCTGAATCTAAATCTAAAATGAGTTATTTGAATTTGGTTTGGGATCAGAATTGAACTGAACTTCAGCCAAGTTCTCACAGTTGTATTTTCTGAACATAAGTAAGACTGAATTATTAGCAAAACTTCTGTTCAAATATTTGAACGCAAAGATCAAAGTTACTGTATTCCTTTTTTCCATTATGTTGTAGATACTTTTCCCTGATAATTTCCAAGGATGTGAAAAGTCAGAATGCTGTTTTATATGAGAAGGTTTATTATTATTCTTAATTTATTTAGATTATCATGGTGCCTGGGGAGCCCAGTCATGAATTGAGACCAAACTGGGTAGGCTGGCAGTCAATCAGGTCACTATCAATTCAAACATAATTTAAAAAGATCTAATGTTTTATTATTTATATAGCTCCATAGATGTGCATGGTGCTTCATATAACAAATAAAAGATAGATTCCCTGCCCCCTAAGAGCTTACAATCTATGCAAATACAAGAACAACAGGAGGAGATAACACAGGCAGGGGACAGGAAAGGGTTGCAGAGCAAAGAGAATGACAGTAAGATTACACTCACATGAAAAGCTACTGTATGCATCTTAGTGGTTACAAACAGGGGAAATGGGGTGTTCTGAGTAACTTAGTTTTGTTTTAATTAGAGGTATGGTTTATAGAAGTGGCTTGAAATAGTTTTGGAAAGAAATTTCAGAAAGGAGAGGGAGAGTTAGGTAGATGGCATCACAAAAGGAGCTCCAGGTGTAGAGAACAGCATGAAAATAAGCATAGAAGTAGGCCTTGGAGAGAGGACACAAAGAAGTTACTAAGTGGAATTTTATCATGTTAGACTGGAGCTCAACCTAGATGACCATGGTTATCCCTACTGGCTTTCTAAATCTATGAAAGTATGACCCAAAGCACACTTTCTCCTGTAAACCTGAAGGCAGCTTTGAAGGTGAAACTGCAGTTATCGTACTTCACCCTCAATATTTCTGTCATTGTATATTTAACTGGGTAAATTTACCAATTTTTCTTTTTTTCCCTTTTTTTAAGAGATGTTGGATGAAATCTAAGTCACGTGAAGTTGATGGGAGTTTAACCACTGTCTTCAAAGTAGCCAGCATTTCACATATTTTAATGATGTTATGAATTTGGGGATGAAATAAATAATTGTGTTTGATACATTTTAACCACACTTAAGTATTCTTAAAAATATATGACCTATATGGCATTTTCCTGCTATTTCTATGTGAGCTATTATGTGATTGCAGCCTATTAGTCCTAGTAACTCTGGCTTTATAGGATACCATGTTATTTTCCCCATTTGAAATATTTTTAGTTAGTTTGTCTTTTTAGCTCATCATTAAATTTCCTTCTCATTCTACACTTCATTAGTCAGTTAATTTCTTAATTTTGATTAAAGATATTATTCTGGGCTTTGGTTTTTTTGGAATAAGTAATGGATGATCCACAGAAGGGCTGGGTTAGAAATGCTTCCCCCCCACCCCACCCCCACCAGATTTACATTTACAGATTGACCATATTTTTATTAAGCTCATCCTTAAGAAACTATGCAAGAAGTTAATGGATAAATTGCAAAACTGCAACTAGTTCCTCACTACCTCTGACAAGGGAATACTACAAGAACAGTCTCTCTCACAGAAATGTATTTGGTACAATGAGCAAAATCCTTTATTAAGGGAAATCAGTTATTTTCATTCATTTCAACTGAGGATCTGGTCCAGTATTTCCATTGCCAGTCCTCTCCAAGAGGAGGGGCTTCAGAAACAGATTAAGTTACATGTATCTTTTTTGTTTCTTTTTTCATTGAAATCATTGTCTATCATTAGCCAACAGTGCTATAAAAATGTAATAAGAGGTAAATCTGAGGATTTAGGATCTGCATCTTCAGAATCCCTAAAAATTACTGACCAATAAGTTATTTAAAGTAAAAAGAAAGGGAAATTCCACTGAAGATTTTATGACTTACCTCTATTATTATAATCAGCCAGGTAGAGTCCCATAACTGAGTTATAGCTGCTTTAAAATCCTTCTCTAGAGTGGCATTAAGGCTGGGGACAGAAGTTACACATAAACTAGTTGAAGTGTTCAGAAACTGATTTAAACCTGTAGCAGAATAGAAGTTCAGTGCTCATAAACCAGTTTCAAAATGGCTTAAAACTGATTTAAGATAAACCCAGTTGAATGTAGCATCAGACTTAACTGATTTAGGTCAAACTGGTTTATGAAACTTCTGTCCCAGACTCCTTCCTGGTTCAAGTTAAACCAGAGCCTCCCAGCATCTTACTGGGCTGGGCTGTCTACTCCAGAAAGCAGAGCTAGCTCTGCCTCAATACTCCCTAGCTGGAGCAGTGAGAGCTGGCTCACTGGCCAGCTCAGGGTCCTGCCTCCCCTCTCCCCCCCAAATCCCAGCTGGGTTCTGGGGTGAGGGAGGGTGATTAAACTTCCCTTTCCCCAAGTACAGAGCTGTGCTGCACTGCGCTGCCCTGCTTACTTAATGCTGGCTGTACCTGTACACTATAAATCCCAGAGGCACCTGAAAGCAGGAAAAGGAAGTGATGAGCAACACTACAGAGTTCTGCTGCTGTGATTCTGGACTGCAAATCCCAGAGATGTCTAGGGCAGCAGGAAGAGGAAGTGAACACACAGCCCATGATGGCTACATAGCAGTGAGCCATGCTCTAGTGCCCCCCACCGGCTTCTTGCTTGAGCCGCTGCAGACATGTGGCTGCATTTCCTGAATCAAAAGTGAATGTCTGTTCATTTGCTTATTGGTTCAATCTCTGCAGCCCTGACTAGCCTGCAAAGACTGAATCAATTCTGGCTCAGGTTTTTTGGCTGTCTGTACTTAGCCTAAACATGAGCCAGAAAAAAGCCACAACCTTGTTACTGGAAAGCAATGGACTAACTGAGCTATTGTGGAAAACCACACAAAACAGCTGAACTGAGTAAAGACCAATTTGCATCTTCATAGGCCAGATGCTTAGCTGGCGTAAATTGGTGTAGCTCCACTGATTTTAATAGCGCTAGGAACATTATTGCCATTGCCCTTTGCAGTCATTAGAAATGGGTAAATTCTCCTCATAACAGGGAATTGTCTCCACAATTAGAAAAGGGGAAATGATCTACTGACATTCTGAGGACAAATAACCATTGGCAACATTTTTCTGTTGCTTTGGGGACACAGTGTATGTTAGTAATTATTGTTTAATTGCTTTAATTCTTTAAAAAGCAACAAGAATCATTGCCAGATATAACATATGGAGTTAGTGTATACATTCAAAAAGTGCCATTATCCCATTATAAATCTGTTGAGCCAATAATTTCTATTCTTGAATTTAAATACAAATCTCCAATTACCAATTACTTTGCATGTTTCTCTTACCATTGAAGGCTGTATATTCTCATTGAGATGCCAGTTAATCCACATTGCATTCAATCTTAGGATCCCCATTCCTTAGAGTTGTTTTCCCCAAATGATATATGGGGAATTTTCACCAAGATCCATACTTACTGTAGCTCACATTTATGCTATTAAAAATTAACCATTTGCATCAAGGGGAGAATGGAACTCCTGGTTATTTCAACACCCTTGATGGAGGGGAAAAAAAGGTTAGTTTGAATATAATACAGCATTAAACTTCATGACTTTACAAATTTTATTGTAAATCATCAGTCAATGCAATAGCCAATGTTTATTTTTTTCATTCCAAACCATCGTAATTAGGAGTTTCAATTACCCTTTATGACGGTTAAGATTTCCCTATATACTTAAAAATTGAACTTACGTTCAAAAGTTCATTACATTACTATGATTTTCTTTTTCTCAGCACCTTTGCTGAACATGTGGGGATTTTATCATCATTTTTTTTTCCTGCCAAAGATAATCTGTTCATTATATCACATAAATGAGATGAAATTCTCACAAACAGCAAAAACTTTACTTTCTTAATCCCTATTCACAATGAAAATGGCCAGCTCAGTGTCTATGAAAATTTATGGGAACTGGGTATTAGACACAAACCCCCAAGTTGCATAATATAGTCTCTACAGTTTTGGTGATATATATTCTACTTTTTTGTTGGAAATGTGAACTTTTTATAAATTAATAGCTTTGGATGACAACATTACATTGTGCCTTGACTATATAGATTCATTGCTCATTAATGACTGATTTCTTATCCCTATAATTTTAAATTTCTGTTCCAAAAAAGGAAGCCAAATAAAATATTGTCTGGATTAAAAAATAACTGGCTGTGGACATAATGTTACTTCATAACCCATCACTACAAATTTCACCTCATTTTCTGATTACAAATAATTAAACTAGGGTGCAAGATTTAACATCCATGGGGAGGTATTTTGATGTTATGTCCTGAAACCCTTTAGAAGCAGGATGGGTAAATTAGATAAGTAGCAACCTGATCCTGCAAACACTTAGTATGCAGTGTAGTGCTAGTTATTGTGAGCAGCTTCAGTGAAATAACTGGCATAGGCTTAGTACCAAGTGTTTGCGGGAGCAGGCATTATGGTGTTATTATCATCAGTACCAGTGCTAACACAAAGTACTGTACATATATTGTTCAATTCATACAGCAAAAACAAAACAACAACTAAAACTGTCATAATTTTAATGCTTTTTTTTTAATTTTGTGCATTGGAGTCAAACAGAAAACTGTGTGCACTTCAACTGTTATCACAATGTGGTCAAGAGGTCTGTGTCTTTTACCATTTACACACAATTGTTCATTACAGCATGTTATCAGCCTAGTGGAAACTAGGGGTGTAGCATGGTAAGCAGTGGTGGTAGTGCACCTAGCTTTTATATTATCTAACTTGAAAATATTTCTCTTCTAAGATTCCTTTTTCTTGATAAAAATAGTTTTCACCAAACGTTGGTGGTGCACACGCACTACCATTCATGCTTGGCATCACACCCCCCAACAGGAACACATGTTCTTATTTTGTTGATAAAAAGTATTACAAAAATTTCCATACAAAAACTATTTTCATAGAAATCTTGCATTTCCACAAATAAACCTGAACATTTTTCTGAAAAAACTGCTCAAGAATTTTGCTCATTTAACACTGTGACTGTATTGATAAATGCAGTCCTCTTTTAAAGTTCTCCACATTTAGGTGACCAATCCCATTTCCACTAGTAGCGAGAATTGCACAGGCCCCATTGAGTTCAATTAGTAGCAGGGATAAAGCCTTTCTGGCTAAAATGCAAGCCTTCTATGTGCCAAATACACTCGTTTCCCCCCTTCCTTCATTCCACAGTTAGAGAAAAATGTAATTCCTTACATCTAAAGGTTGTAAAATACATTCCTTTGTACACAGGAAAACTTTTATGTCATCTAAATTTGGGTCAACCTTATGATTTTCTCAGATCAAAGTTCCAACCCAGGTAAATTTAAGAAAACTACTACTGCCTTATTAACTGTCATGTATTATTATTTCTTTCAGTGGCACAGGCAGTCCCAAAAGCAAGTGAGTCTCCCCATATTCATCTTTCTGTTCACAAGATCCTTATTTTCTTTTCTTTAAAACTTCTCCCATCCATTACGCTCATATCGCCTGTCCAACTGGCAGTTACAGTCTCTAGATATGGACCAACAGTTACCAACTCTTTGATGCTTGGAAGTTCTGACGAACATACTGTTTCTTGCTCCACTAAATTTCCCAGACATTATTTTTAAAAGACTCCTTCAGTGGTTAATTACTGTGTTAGCCTTATTCTCCACCTCCTGGCAACCGTTGAACTTCAAAAGGAACCTGTAATTTCTCACTGAGACTGCATTTGAAACCAGCCACAAAACTCACATGTAACATTCATTCATTCAGAATGGTGGAACCCATGACAAACAGTGTAACCCCCGCATAACTTGGTTGATCCATGATGCTTGTGATTCGAGTCTGGCCATTGCAACTGCTTAGATCAGAGTCTCTAGTTCATAGACACAGCGGCATGAGGTAACTCATTTTATTTTGCACAGGTTGCATATTTCCACAGGAAACATTCTCGCAAAGTTGTTTGGAAAAAAGACGACAGTTTGTGCTTGGGGTATCTGGCCACCCAGCTCTATGCCATGGTTTCTTTACCTGGCAACCTTCTGTCGTTAAACGTGTGCATGTTGATGACTTCTTCTGTTTTCACAATAACAGGGGCCTGTGGTTTGTGTTTTAACCGACGCTGACACTTCAGAGACATCCTCAGCTCCTCTACCATGGCACTACAGAAGGACCTCTACAGGGGAAATTTAAGAAGAAGAAGGGAAAAAAAAAAGCTGTAAGAAAGATCAAGCTGCAATGCCTAGAAGCAGATTCACTGTTTTGGCACAGCCTTGTCAGCCCTATAAGTTTGCCACATTTCAGCCTGGAGCTCATAACAAATTGCTGTCTTTTAAATATGCATCACATAATAATTAAAATGACTTATCAAGCTGTGATGGCTCATTGGAAATTTCACCTTGTCTCTACAATTATTTATCTGCCAACTACTGTCTGCTGATGCACGTTATATGTAAAGAGATTTCAGACAGATGCTCTGTTAGTAAAGTTTAGCCTTACAGGTTAAAGTTTGAATTTACATGCACTTGCAAACCCTGAATATCTCCACAGTGTATACTTTACATATATTTTACTTCTATAAATTCTGTGTTGCTGTGTTCAAGCTCTTAGATGGATTTACCTAGTACAAAGTTAGCTTAAATTATTTTAAAATAATATAAAAAAGGAAATGCAATGGTAATGCAATGTGCCTTAGGTCAACAGCTATTCATGAAGTTAAGTGGAAAACAAATATCCAATATATTATTTTGCATCTCTTTAGCTTCAAATCTTCATCATCATAAAAGCTATTGTCCACAGAAGAATACTTTTCATGAAAGATTATTTACATACAAAATATTAGATTTTATTTCAAACTGAATGGCTTAAACTCCTGAAAGCAAACTATAAGAAAGATATGTCTTAATACAAACTAGTTTTTCAGAGCAGTGTAAACAAAAAAGGACAGATAGAGCATTCATTTCTTTGCTCACCACTATTCAGAGTGTGCCCCCATCTGCAGGGAGTGGAGGAGAGAATGTTTGCCCATTATTCCAAACTGTGGACAAGTGGGGCATGAAAGAGGTGAAGAACATGGCAATAGCATTAGCTTTGCATACTTCATCATTCCAGCCAGGTATCCAGACACATGGTGAGGTGTGAACTGCTCCATTCAAAAAGATAAGGGACAGGAGAGAAAAACTATTATTCTCTGAGCTCAGCTATGTGTTGTCCTTTACTCAAGGCCAGATGTATAGTCCAACTCTTTGGCCACATCCACATGAGTGCAGACATTTGTTCCCCCGGGGAAAAGAAGCAGCAGCACATCTTATGCCACTGCTACTTGTCCCTGGGGAATGCCTGTGCTATGCTCCCTTTGGCGCAAGGCAGGTTACCCCAGGTAGAGTAGGGAAGGCTGGGGCCAGCAACTATGCTGGCCCCAGCAGCCTTACCTGGGGTGCTGGGGGATTTGGGGAGCTGCAGCCATGGCACTCCTGCAGCTGGGAGTCTGGCCAGAAGCTGGAAAGTGGCTCCTGCAGGCCAGGCTCTGTTTTTTCTTTCAAAGAAAGAAAATGAAAAAAAAAAGAGGCTGGGCTCTATTGGAAATGTGACCTTGTATCATTAGAAATATTACTTTTTAACAGCTGAATACTTCCTTCTGAAATATTTCTTAAATATTGTTTGTTACTTTATGAAACATATGAATAGATAAATCCAATTTCCACAAGTAACTTCCTTGGCCTGGTTCCTAATATAAATTCCAAATATCGATTTTTCAATATCATGTAAAATATGCCAAATACATACAAAAACCCAGAATTATTTTTTTAAAAAGCCAAAACATTATTTTCTAGTTTTCACTTAAATCTCAAGATTCCTTGTAATAGATAACATATAAAGAAATGTATTTAAAAGGTGCAGGCTTTTTGACTGGGGGATCTCCTGGGATCAAACCCCACCCATGCTGCAAGGTAGCAGCATGAGGAATGCCTGCATGTGCAGGGCATGGCACCACATACCACACATCCAAGCTCACCTGGGTGCAGCCTTCATGTTTGGCCTCCTTGTACCTTTCCAGTGGCTGCTAATCCCTAAATCCAAGCATGTCATCTATAAATCCAAACACTGGCATCATAAAACCCTTTAAAATAACTCCATGTGTACACTGCACACCTAAGGTAGCCAAATATCATAGAATCATAGAAAAGTAGGGTTGAAAGGGACCTCAGGAGGTCACCTAGTCCAACCCCCTGCTCAAAGCAGGACCAGCAAAATATGCTGCTCCATGTTTTCTACTACGAAGATTGAAATAATTTTAATTGTGTTCCTACTGTGCTGAGGGCAGGCTTATTAGAACTGCTGAAAATCAGTGCCAGTTGGCTTGCCCTCAGCATCATGTGGACTTAGCTGTATTTCTTTCTGTCAAGAAAGGGTTCCACTGGGTGCCACTGCTGGGCATGGTATATTTGCAATCTAAACATGGCCAAAGAATCTGGAATTGCTGTTAATCATTGACTTCTTTTGTGAGATTAACAATATATCAGAAGTAAATTTTCACTTTGTTCATTTTCTCCTTTGCTTCAGGCCCCCTATTTTATTTGTAAATAACTAACTACCCAGTATGTCAACCAAACCTGATGCTTCATTTGGTCTTGGGAATACAGCCACCCAGTCCAACTTAGTGCCTGTTTAAGATGCCTAAGTGAGAAATTGTGATCACAAAAATTCCCACTTAGATGCCAGAATGTACAAGGTTCTGTTCTCTCTTTCGTATGAGAAATTCAAATTCCTACATCCCAGAATGGCCTAACCAGTAGGCTATTCAAGGCTGAAACATTCTCTGCTTCCTTTTGTTGACACTGTTTTACTTTGCATAGAAGGTATAAATAATCCTTAGCCCAGCCACAGTGAGAGGGAAGTAGAAAAAACAAGGTAATGCTTAACTAAGAGTTACAATACTCATCTACCACAGAGGTCCTTGACTTGATTATTTTTAAAATGTTTTATCTAGTAACTTTTTAAATGTAAAAGAGGTTAATAATCACTGATGCAATATCAGAAACTAAATGTCTCTTCTTCCAGTTAGTCAAGACATTCCTTCTCTGTCTTTCTTTCTCTCTCTTCTGTTTGGTTCAATCGTCATAAACCTATGTCTAACACTCATTGGGTGTATCTACACATGCAATTAATTCAAAGCAGTAAACTCTAGAGCAGTTTGAGCTCAAATAAACTACTTCTGGGCACAGCATCTACACATGCACCCAGGACAGCAGTGATTTGAGATGGGGAAGAGCAGTTTATGCCAGGGAAGCTCCTGCCCTGCTCTGCCCCAGGCTCTGGGTGGTGGCATTGGGCGGTAGAGGGGCTGGTTGGGGCACGAGGGTGCTGAAAGTGTGGAGACATGTGGCTAGGCAGCAGGTAGGAGTCTGGCCCCCTGCTGGCTGGACTGACTGGGTGCAATTTACATCTACAGTTGGCATCTGTACATACATTTAATTGCAGTTAATTACTCTGACAGAAGTTAGTACTGTTCCAGATAGTACTCTCTTATGGTGGTGTTAATTAGTTTACTGCAGCCTAATGTTGTCACACATGTAGAAGGTGATGCTTTACTCCACAACTAAGTCTGTTCCACAGTAAAGTGCACATATAGACGCAGCCATCTTGAATGAGTGCTCTAACTATTAAGCTATCATTTGAAAGGAATGCAGTGTATACCATTCCTCTGGTCATGTTTTGAAACAAAGTAATATCCACTGATTTCTCTAATAGGGGTTCGGCAATTATCTTCAGGACAGAGTTCAGATTGTGAGTCCAAAGAGAATCCAATGCATTCTTGTAGAAAACAATAATATATATCTTGGGGAGGGCAGGATATAAGACCCAAACCTGCCCTCAGCATGTCCTGCTGGCTAGTTTAGGTGACTCTGTGTTGTGAATATATTAGGAAGTACATGAGTCCCCATATATTATGCAGGGACCAAATACTGAGTGCCTGGTGCCTAAAGGTTTATAAATACACTGCATTGCCTAAGTCCTGTGGCAGATCTGGCTGTGGTTATTACTGATTTATCTCAGTGCAATAAAATCAGAGTACGCAGAACAGCTGTCAATTAAACATGGTCAAAGCAGGGATGAAATGAGTTTCTCTTTTGGTTTTAAGCCATTTTTATAATATAATATTTGATTCTGTTCATGGTGTTATTCTGCAAAAAAAAAAAGAATTAAACATTCCCAATTACCTGAGTGAATACAAAGATATGCCTCTAAATCCAGGATACAGCTGAGGACTATGAAAATGCTTTCCTTCCCATGTGAAGGAAAACATCTCCTAATAGCCCTGAGTTAGGCCCTTAAATCCCAAAGAAGGTCAGAATTTAAAGGCCATATCTTTCCTTATGGAAAAGAAAAGATATCTCTCTACTCAACTTGCTGGCTTTTTTAGATCTCATTCTTAACCCATACTTTCCCAAGCAACAGATTCCACTAGGTAGCCAGGCACCTTAAAGTTAGGCATTGCAACACTGACTGCTGGAGCATCTGACAGAATCTCTTAGTACAGTTGGCCCCGGGATGCCAATGAAATCCAGATACCTAAATCCTTTTTCAAAGTACAATTTCGGCTTCTATGGCACTTAAAAATTTGAAAAATTTACCACTTAATGTTTCTATCAAGATATCTAACAGGCTTGACACAGAATGAATATCTGTCCCTTTAGAACTGCATTGAAACTCAATCAATTCTTCTGTAAGTTACCAACGTTTCAACTTGCAATCGCTCTCATCATTGAATAGGATTCCAACTTATAGTCAAGAAAAGAAAGGATACACAGCCTATGGCCAATATCCTGAAACCCTATCCCTGCTATATAATGAGCTAATTACTGTTATTTTACATAAATATAGTCTGTAAAAGAGAGAGAGAGAGAGAGAAAGAGAAAGAGAGAAAAAAGGAGAAAAGAAGAAAAAGAAAGAAAAAGAAAAAAAGGGGCTGGACTATATTTAAAAATATGGCCTTGTACCATTGGAAATATTACTTTTAAACAGCTGAATATTTCCTTCTGAAATATTCTTTAAATATTGTTTGTTACTTCATAAAATATATACATAGACAGATCCTATTTCCACAAGTAACTTCATCAGCCTGGTTCTTAACATAAAGTCCATATATCCTTGCTCTTTGCTATCATGTAAAAT